CGTTTGTGATTTTTTTTCTTCTGGTGGACTGACTTTGACAACTTTGGTTTTCTTGGCCGCTTTTTTTCTTGGTTTTTGTTCCAGGCTGCGGGAACCTCGTCAATCGCAGCAAGCAGTGCCGCAGCGGCAGCGGCAGCGGAGATCCGGAGGCCCGTGATCAGGCAAGCTTTGAGATTCGGAGTAGTCTACTAACAGTGCTCGAAGTTTCGTGACGGGATTTTTCCTTGTCTCATTTTTTGTTTCGCCTTTCTTCGCAGGCTTTGCTCCGCGAGTGTTCCACCATCGACTAGCGCTCCGCCAGGAAACCATTTTGTTAACCGGTGACGATGGAGAGCTCGATCGCTCAAGCAAAATTCTTCCACAGTGAAAGGGAGCAAGACGGAGGAAAAGAATGGCTCGTCATAGGAAGATTTATAGGCTGTGAGACACACGGTTATAATGAATATACATACGTTTAAAACTCGATTCCTAGGGTTTTGAAAGTTCTAGCCTAGCGAGGAAGATATGGGGCTCGTGCTGCGTCTGGCGGTGCCGCATTCCTTCTCCCTCGCGCGCGTCGTGTGTAGCTATGGATTCTACATGATGCAGCCGAACAGATGGCTGCCGGAGAGCGGCGATCTGGAGCGGCCGCTGCGGCTCAAGGACGGGCGTGCTGTGGTGACGATCTTGTCGGAGGAAGCGCCCGGGATGCTGGCTGTGAGGGTTTTGGGCGTGGAGGAGCTCCCGGAGGACGATCGGGAAGAAATTCTGGTGAGTAGGTTCTTAGATTGTGTACGTTGTGTAAGGGAGAATTTCGTTGTGACAGAGCCAAGTGAAGAGGATGCTGAGGCTTTCGGATGAGGAGGATTTCCTGGTGACTGGCTTCCATGCTCTTCATCCCAAAGCCAAGGAGGAAGGCTTTGGGAGGCTGATACGATCGCCGACGCTGTTCGAGGACATGGTGAAGAGCATTCTTCTCTGCAATTGCGGGTAAGTGGATTGGATGATTCTTTCTTTTGTTTCATGCTCTTGTTTCTTGTAGGTGGGGAAGAACTTTGCAAATGGCCAGGGCCTTGTGCGAGCTCCAGTTTGAGCTCAAGGGAGCTCCAGTTGGATACACCAAGGTGCTTGCGTACGAAAAGATTGAATTTGCGGTCACCACGGTTTCGTCCTCGTCGAAAAAGAGGAAGAGTGTGGTCGCCAGAAGCACAACCAAATCCAGGGTGAAAAGACTGCAAAAAGCTTTCAATGAGAGCATGCAAGGCGCTGGGCTTGCTCCACCCGAAATGCTGGAGGCTGAAACTGGGACGCAGGCTTTCGATACACAAGTCGGAGCTTTTCCAACCCCGGAAGAGCTGAAGGATTTGGAGCCGGACTTCCTCTCCAAGCGATGCGGCCTTGGATACCGAAGCAAAATGCTGGTGAAGCTAGCACAGGACGTTGCTTCCGGGGATTTGGAGCTGGGAAAGTTTGAAGGCCCAGAAGCACTCCAAGGCGACAGCTTGAGATGCGCCGTTTTGAAGGTCTATGGATTTGGGCCCTTCTGTTGTGCCAACGTGATGATGCTACTCGGGAACTACAACGTTATTCCGGCCGACTCAGAGACTCTTCGACATCTTAAACAGGTGAGAGTTATCCTCTGTTTTCGTTCTTATTTGCTGCATTTAACAGTTTCATGTTCTTAGTTTCACGGTATGCAAGGTGTTACAAAGCAGAATCTTGCAAAAGTTGTTGCAGCAGTCTACGAGAAGTACAAACCTTACGAATTTCTGGCCTACTGGTATTTCCTACTGTTCTTCTCCTTTCGCTCGCCTTTATATTCGTGTCCTTATTTTCTAGGTGGGAGATATGGAGATCTTACGAACAGCGTTTTGGAGATTTGACACGAATGTCTGCGTCCGAGTTTCATCAGATCACTGGTGTGAACATGAAGACGCTCAACGCGGAAACTTCGTAACCAACAGGTGAGTTTTCTCTATCCATTTTATCGTTACATTTTAGGTTACGCGGGTTTTTTTTCTCCAGGGCGGTTTCAGCATGAAAAAGGTGAGGGAGGGGCTTTACATCGGGTGCCTGGATGATGCGCTCAAGTACCTGTTTGGATCCGAGTCCGGGATCACGCACGTCCTGTCTCTGGCGTCTCTCAACTTCCTCACGGATGACAAGTCGCTGAATGCGTTCTCGGCCTTTAGAATGCGGGCGTCTCTGCGCAGCTCCCTCATGGAGTCTGTGAAGAACCCAAATGCGGATGCTGCGGCCAGTCGTCCCGAGCCAGTCACTGCCGAGCAAGCTGCTGCAAACAGAGCCAAGCTGGTCCGGAAAACTGTTCCTTTGATCGACACAGAGGCTCAGAACCTGCTCGATTATCTGGAAGAGTGCCTGGAGTTTATTGACAAGGGAAGGAGTGAAGGGTCTGTGCTCGTCCACTGCGTAGCTGGTATTTCCCGCAGGTAACGTCCTTGTATTCTGATGCTCATCCTTCCTTGTTTTTTTTATCACCTCAGTGCTACGGTGATCACTGCCTACCTTATGCGGAGCGAAAGGCTGATACTGAAAGGTCCTTTGATTCTCGCGTGTCATCAGAAAAGAACTCACACGAATTACTTTGTTTCAACATTGCAGAGGCGCTCGCTTCTTTAAAAGAATGTAGCAAAACAGCTTGCCCAAACAAAGGATTCAAGCGTCAGGTAAGAATGTGCTGCTCGCAAGTAGTTTTTACACCGTCTCTTGTTCCCTTCAGCTGCAAATGTTTGAGGAGATGGGCTGTGTCGTGGACAAAAACAACAGTATTTACAAGAAATTTCACCTGGAAAATCTCGGTGAGCTCGTGGTTACTTTTCTCAATGGATCCCAGGTTCTAATGCTTGCTAATCAGGAAACATGTATGGGAAAGGCCAAAAGATCGAACTTTTGCAGTTCGCAGTAGATCCAAGCTCCCACGCAGAAAACCAGAATCCATCAGGTGGAAAGTCAGGCACCTTCTTCCGCTGCAAAAAGTGCAGGCGCTTGCTTGCGTTGCAAGGCAATGTTCTCGCACACGCTCCCGGCGCTCAGGAGAAACCATACAAGTGGAAGAAAGGCGATGAGGACGAGACCTCAACCTCGCAGGTGCGGGACTCTTGTGCCGCCCTGTTCGTGGAGCCAATGCAGTGGATGACTACAGGTAAACATCTCCATTTCATGTTTTTTTCATTGCTAATGCACAGTGATTTCTCCGTGCAGTCCAACAAGGGGAGATGGAAGGGAAACTCTCTTGTGCAAATTGCCACAGCAAAGTCGGGAGTTTCAACTGGGTGGGAGTGCAATGCAGCTGCGGTACTTGGATCAACCCGGCATTCCAGTTGCACACAAGCAAGGTTGATGCATCATGGACATAAATGCTTGAGAACAGGTAATTCTCTGGTTTTCTATGCTGTTCAGCAAACTCCATTAAATTTCCTCTCAGAGAAATGCTCTGAACGTGGAAGAGCACAGTGTTTTCTCATCGCATCTCCCTCACCAAGAACACCGAGAAGGTGACAATGACAAAGGAGATGAGGAACGACATGATCATCTCAGTGAGGAGGCTGTCCATGGAGAATCCCAGCAGCGGCGACACCTGCACCCCCGGCGGCGATTTCTTGAGCGCAAACAGGCGGAGGGCGTTGCATTCGTGGCAGGCGGAATCCATGGCGAGGATGCCGCTGGCGGCGCCGCCCAGCGCGTAGAGGGCGGCGGGCGGCGGCGTCACCTTTGGGAAGCGCATGAGCGCCGACGAGTAGGCGAGCGCGGAGGTGGAGGAGATGGTCGCAACCGTGGCACCCAGGACCAATCCATCGCACAGCCACGGCGTCGCGCGGATGTGCCTCGCGATTTGCCTCAGCCCGGAGGCCATTCCAGGCGCTCCAAATCCGAGCCCTGCGAGGCTTCCAAGTCCTGGGAGCCAAAATCCTTGATAGCGATGCTGGAGAGAGCTGCTGGTGCTGGTGCTGGTGCTGGGCATCGTTTCGGTCTTAGAAAATTCTCTTGTTGTTGCTCTGCTTGTCGTTCATGGAAGGTGGAGTTTGCTGAAAACAAAGTAGCAGTTTTGGGCAGTTGACAGGGGCGCGTGTGTTCGGCGGGCACTGTTCCAGTGGCAGTTGACGTGGCGGCCGTTGACAGTTCAGCAGAAACTATTATAAAAGGCAATAAAAGAATCTATATTAAATATCTAGAGGCCACAGATTTTACTAAAAAAGAAAATTGCATGCATATAAAAATATAGAATAAATGAGAGAAAATACATACAATCAAGAATGATTCTCCATTGCTCTTATTGCTCCATTGCTTATTACTCTCCATTGCTCAAATTTCTAAAGTAGTTTGTAAAGTTTTGATTTACTTAAATTTATTATTATATATATAAATTTTGCAAAATTATTTTCGTCATATGTTAATGTTACACAATCCATGATTTAAGATACACCAGCGTGGCATCATCGGGTGAGCTGCCACTCCCCGTGACACCATTCTCTCCCGCCACTCCACCAGCCGCTTTCCTGCCTCAGTCGTCCGCTTCTTGGAGCTGGAGTCTCTATTCCCTGACCACGTCACCTCTGCCAGCGCGGAAGTCCGCGGCCACACCAGCCCATCCAGCACGTTCGCATCCGCCAACTCAGACCACAGCGCAGCCTCAGCGCCAATCACAAGCGCCGCCTCCTGCCGCGTCAGCCCGTACGCCAAGTCAAAGTCATAGATCCGCTGCCACGTCTTGTACGGCGCGCACCACGACCCGCCGCTACCACCGTAGTTGAAGGACGCGTCGTCACCGGTGATGCTCAGCGACGGCGGCACCACCGTCCGATTGGGCTGGTCGAATCGCGAGTCGTTGAACAGGAAGTCGCCGCGACCACAGTCGAGGTAGAGGAAGTCGGACGACGACACGACCGCGCGGTACCCCGCCGACGTCACCGCCTTGGTGTTGATGGCCCCGTTGTTCCACGTCTGTATGACCGTTGACTCCCTGGGGAGGAGGTCAGCGGACACGTTGACCGCGGCGTCAAGCAGAATGTCCTCCCAGTACACCACCGTCTTGTTGCGCGACGCGATCATCGGGTACGTCCTGTTGACGAAGAGCTCCAGGAGGCTGCCCATGGTGGCGTTCCCGGAGGAGACGAGGCGTGAGAGCTCCTCGCTCGCGTTCCAGCAGCCGGGAGCTATCTCGTCGGCCCCTGCGTGGTAGAAGGAGTCCGGGAAGAGGGCCGTCACCTCCTCGATGATGTGCTTGAGAACCTGGTAAGTTTTTGGGTGTAGAGGATTGAGCTGCCCGGCACCTGGCTCCGACGCCATGCGTTTGCTCCAGTTTTGAGTGTTGGGATCCCACCACATCTTTCCCAGGCATGTTAACATCTCTGGGTACGCCGCTCCCCATGATGCTGTGTGTCCTGGACATAAACTTTGACTTTAGAAAGCAAAATCTGGAAGTTTTTACCTGGAGCGTCGATCTCGGGGACAACTCTGACACCGCGAGACCTGGCGAAGGCCACAATGCGCTTCACGTCCTGACGTGAGTACGTAAACTCCGGCCCATACGAGCCTTTTTTGGAGAGCTCCGGCTCCGACTCCAGGCGTAGAGGGAACGAATGCGAGTCCGATATGTGCCAGTGGAAGACGTTGAGCTTGTTGTAGCTGAGAGCCTGGATGGTCCGAAGTATGTCCTTGACCGGAAAGAAGTTCCTGGATGTGTCCAGCAGGAGTCCCCTGTGAGAGTAGAGCGGCCAGTCTGTGATTCGGACCCCGTAGCTTATGAAGAGCTTGCGAGCTTGCGAGTCAAACTGCACCAGTTGAGAGAATGTTTCCAGCCCGTGGAGAGCCCCCCACGTTGTGTTCGACACAATCGAGGCAGAGTCACCCTCTGAAACCACCAGTGTGTAGGATTCGTCCACACCATTCTGTAAGCCGGCTCGTAAGTCCGACACGGAGATGACGAGCCGTGAAATAGTTGCTTGTGCGGACTGAGAAGAAATGCGAGCTTGAATGGACACTGCAGACCATTTCTCAGTACAAACTTGACGCTTGTACCTCGATGCAGCAGCTCGCAACAGCTTTGGAGAACCCGCAGGCACCGAGATCGTGAATGTTGGTGAAATCAAATGGCACGACTTGTCGATGGCCTCAACAATCTGAGGCTGCGGCCACAGAAACAACTCGGAGCCCCTGCAAACCTGCACGGACCAGAAGATGAGAAAGCCGAACAGTCTTCTCATCTCCATTTTGTGACGAATCCTCTGAAGAAAATGTTAGCATATTTATTTAGAAGGAACGCTCGGCATCAACAAATCCCACCTAGAGCTGCCGCCCACACAGAAGATTTTTATGGATTGAAGAAGTGAACAGCTCCAATTTGTGTTTGTCCACTAGCAACTGTAGTCGGTGGTAAGTACAAGAAACAAAGGCTGGCTTCTCACTCGTCTTATTAATCCGATTTGTCGTCGTTTATGGAGAGCAGAGTCATTGCTTGAACGCTCGCATCATCCAAGCTGTCCATAGAGATCTGCACAAAACATAAGACCGCCATATGCAACAGGATGAAAATAATTCATTGACTTACTAGAAGTATGTCTTCGTCTGTTCCAAAAGACTTACGTGCTTCGTCCAGCGCTTCAAGCGGCAGCTTATCGCTGCAACTGTAAAGACAAGATGTGAGGAGACAAAACACAGCGCCTAGCACCTTGAGCTTGATGGATCTTTTATTTCGAACTCGTTGGTTTCTAGATCATACCCGCAAATAACCACATAATGGCCTGCAAAATCAACATCACCTGTAAAAGACGTGGGCACAAGAAAAAAGTCTCTTCACCTGTGTAGCCAGAATGTAACCCGCAACACAGACACACTTCGAGCCAAGGATGGCTGTAAGGACCAGGAGAAGCTCTAAGCAAATATTCAGAATTTGAAAATAAAAAGTACCTGAGCTTGTGTTTGTCAACTAGCGCAATAGCAAGATATCGTCCAGAAAGAATCAGCATTGCCAATTCTTCGCCAGATATGGACCTCCACTGTGTCACTTTCACTTGAGTGTCAAATGAGTGGATGTTATACTGCTACCTGTATCTGAATCCCAGCTTGAGGAGCTTTCTCAAACAGCTTATTTACCCGTTTCTCGTCAGCTTCCATATTATCCTGCACGATACCATTAGCTTCTCCATGAAAAGAACATTGCAACTACAACGAACATAGGTAGCTTTAACATGCAAAAGGCAGGCGATTCGACTTACACATCAAACTGTGGACGATCGACCTCTAAATACATACAGTTAGAAAGCGTTTGGAAAGAGCTACGCGTACGAACCTTGTAGAAAGACTCGACTGCCAGAAGTGGATTTGCTCCAAGGGTGATCGTCAAAAAGGCCACGTCCACCGAAAAATGGCGAAGGAGATAAGCCAAATCAACAGTCCAAATGCTGCCAGCCACAGAGAAGAAAGAAAAATCAGCATAAGGTTGCCTATAGGACCAACCTCGTGTTACGACAGAGCTGGGACAATGTCTTTAAATTACAGCTCTCAATCCCGAGAGCTCGAAGCACCATCGAGACACAAGCGAGCCCACAATCCCAGCTCCTAAGCTGGCGGACATGGGGAACCTGGAAAGAAGAACAAAAAGAACTATCACGGCACAATCATAGCAACGAAGAATTGCTATCTATAATATACTCACATCAATAGAATTCGACCGAGGAAGAGGTCTGTCACAGTCGATGAAAGGGGAATGCGCGGAATCCCATTTGTATATTTCCACGAGCGATTTCGTGGCCCAGGCACTGTTCGCGTTCCTCCGAGACCTACCTCCTTCCGATCCCGCCATTCCCTTATCAGAGCATGATCTTCAGACAAATCCTGCGACAACGACAAAATCACCGGCCAGCGAGAGATTTTAGAGCAGCAGCTGGTATGAATCACCTCAAATCACTCCATTCTCGATCCTGGGACTCTCATCAGAGAGAGATCCCGCCGCGCTCGCCGCGCCGATGCCGATTCACCTAGAGATCTCTCATCGACATTGCCGAAATCTCGCGCAATGCGGATTGGAGCGCGCCGCGCAGCCGCTCGCCCCTGGAAGGAAAACCTATGAATGAAACCACGGCTATTTCCCAGCCAGAAAGCCTCCGCGGCATATTCCACCCTGTTCTCAAGCTTTTGGGGGGAATCGAACACCGGATGCGGTATATTCTACCCTGTTTTTCAAGCGGGGAATCGAACCCCGGACCTTCAACTAAAGCCCGGATTCGAACCCCAAATCGCGAGGGAGTTTTGTCTGGCGCGGGGCATGCAAGCTCGTCTAGAAATACAAATCTAGGGCTATCAAGAAGAAGAAGCGGCGCCGCCAGGATACGCCAGTAGGGAGCGCTCGATCGATGGATTCGCGCGGCGTGTAGCTCATTCATTCATTCTCCGCGATCCATCGGACAGTAAGTAAATGGCGGGATCGTCGGCGACGAGGCTCATCCTGACCAGCGGCGGCATCGTTCCAGCTCCAGAATCGCTTCCACCGACCTCGCTGGATTTGCTGGAGGTGAGGCGGCAGTCCGGGGAGGGTTCCAGATGCCGGTTTGGCTGTGCGCTCGGGAAGAACTTGCTGGGGCACGCGTTTGAGGACCGGCACTACGCCAGGATCGTCGAGCACAAGGGGAAGGAGATCGCGATGTTTGGGGTGTATGACGGGCACAAAGGGGGCGAGGTAGCGGACTTCCTCCAGCAGTATCTCTTCGACGCCATCTTGAGTCATCCACGCTTCGATGTGAATCCAAAGGAGGCGATCCGAGAGGCATACTTGGCATTGGACAAGAGGTTTGGTTTCCATCTTCGCTGGCTTGTTCTTCGTGTGATTGTGTTCCTTCCCAGGATTTTAGATCTGGGAAGCGTGAGGAGATCCGGCTCCACGGCCACGACTTGCCTTCTCTTTGATGGATCCAAGCTCATTGTCGCAAACGTCGGGGATTCGCGGGCGGTGCTGTGCCGCGGTGGCGAGGCCGTGGTCGTCTCCGTGGATCACGAACCACAGAAGCCGGAAGAACGTGAGATGGTGAGACCGAAAAATCCGATTATTCCTCCACAGGTGGCAGCTCTGAGAGATTCCCAAAGCAACACGTAGCTCTCTCGAGTGTCGTGATCGTTGTGATCGTTGTGTCCACTTATGGTTTTCTTTTGTTGTGGCTTTGTCAGGTGGAATCCAAAGGTGGAGAAGTGAGCTTAACACTCGGTGGAATCTATCGCGTCGACCGACGGTTGGCCATGTCGAGAGCTTTCGGGGACTACGATCTCAAAGACCACATCACGGTAGAGCCGGACATATGGGAAGGCGAGCTCTCCTCGGACGATTTCTTCATCGTCGCCAGCGATGGGCTGTGGCACAAGGTGACGAGCGAGGAGGCCGTGAGCGTGGTCCTGGAGGAAGACGAGGCCGTGGTCGCTGCGGAGGAGCTCGTCGAGCTTGCCAAAGTGAAGAGGGAGACCGATGATATAACCATCGTCGTTGTCACGTTGAAGTGAGCGAGCTAAGTAATTTTCAGTTCTATCGTCCAGCTTCCAGCCAAGGTTCTCTTTCCTTTTTCTCGATTACTTTGATTCATCACTGGTGAAGGAGCTGGTGTTCGCGTTGATTTGCATTCTTGACGCGGAACTCCAGCTCCGAAACGTCGCCGTGGAGACGGCCCAAGCTCTCGTTTTGCCTGTGCAAGAAAGAGAGGTAAGTTTTGACAGAGAAGTTCTTCGTGGCTATGGCAAGTTACCTTCCAAGCTCGTCTCCCATGGTAGAGGACATCTCCTTGAGCTGATCCAGGACGCTGCTCAGGCTCGAGAGAGCTTCATCCTGCTTGGCTCGCTCATCCTTCCCCAGGATTCTCTCTTAAAGCTCGAAACAACGAACAAACAGAACGACTTTACCTGGACGTGGGACTGAAACGTCGAGGCCTGCTGAGGAGGCGAAGACGAAGATTTCGGAGCCACTCCATTGCCCTCGAAGAACTCTTTCCGATCGGGATGAGCAGCAGCATGGACTGGATTATCTGATGAAAGATCATAGCTATAGCCATGAAAGAGGGAAAGAACTTTAGCTATGTACCGTGGTGGAAGTCCAGGGGTCCGCTCAATTCCTGGCCTCTCTTGGGCCGCCAGGGCCTGGAAAAGATGCCTCCAAGGCTGGCCAGAAGTTTCTCCCCCTGTGATCGATGATCCAAAGTTGTTGACAAGGATAGAACGAAGAAAAGATTTCCAAGTACCTTGTTAAGTTCTTGCTCGAGCACTAGCGCCGACTCGTGCGTGCGCCGGATCTGCTGGCCTTGCTCGTGGAGCTGGACGATCGTCTGCGTCGCCTCGTGCCTCATATCCTCGGCCACGCGGAGGCAGCTCTGGATGGCGGACGTGGTCTCCTGGGATGTGCCCAGAGCTTGCTGCTGGAGCTCTTGCAGATCTTCGTCATCGCCATCTAGATCCCGGCGAAGCCCGGCGCCCGGAGGAGGAGCGGAGGACGCTCGACTGTGATTACTGGGCGAATGATTTCCCAGGAGAGCTTGGCGCTGCTGGAAAGCGCTGGAATCTCGCAGAAGAAGCTCCGCCGAGGGCGATTTGTGAGACATCCTTGGAGAAAGAAAGATAGGCCAAGAGGGTATCAATGCCGCATTGCGATCGTCGTGACTGACCTAGTGCGGCGATGGCGATGGCGATGGCGACGATCCGGGAGCTGCCTTATAGATCTGTGGCGCCGTGGCAAGGAAAGGGCGAGAGAGGAGGAGATCAAGAGACGCCGCTAGAGAGAACTTGAATGGGACACAAGGAGGGAAACCCAAACGTTATTTTTCTTCTTTAATGGATGGGATTTTTTAGTAGAACACATCGTCAGCGTGTAAATGCGCTGTGAGATTCAAGCTGTCGAGCATTGGCTCCCCGAGCTTGTTCACCGTAAAGCTCGAGATCCCACTGTTGTTTATGTCGATCGCTCGAAACCTATCCAAGAAAGTTAGCAACGGCAAAACTTGCGAGTAGAATTATCAAGACTAGAACTATGGGATGCAAGACTTTCTTAAAAGAAAGTCTTGTTTACGAGTGAAAAGATCGTACCTTTCCGGTTCTAATCCCAGTGCTGTGCAAATGAGTGCTCGAAGAATCGACTTGTGAGTAACAACGAGCACGGTTTGTCCCTGTCAAGTGAAATGGAAGTAATGAAACTCTCTCTGAGAAAAGAGGGAGAGAGAACGAGCTTACAGATCCGGCGAGCATTTCGGCCCAAGCTTTCTTCGCCCTGCCCCACAGATTGACGACGGGATAGACGCCATTCACGTTGAAGTTCCTTGGATCTTCTCTCCAGGCTTTGAACAGTTCGGGAAACTCTTGCCTTGCGTCCTCTAGAAAAGAAAATGCTTTGTAGACAACCAAGAAGCGTGGCAAAGCTTACGATTTTTCATTCCTTCTAGGAACAGCAGGTTGGCTTCTCCCAAACTCTCAAGAAAAATCAATGGCTCCTCCCGACCAGACCACATAATCTCGGCACTAGACTGCTTCAAAACAACGCTATCAAAGAGATACATGTAGAAGAAAAACTACCACCTTGGCTCGGGAGATGGGACTAGCGTAGCACTTGTCAAACTTAATCTTCGAAAGAGCATGCTTGCACCGTTGTGCTTGGGAAACTCCAATCTCCGTGAGAACCGACTTGTCTGAGCTGCCCTGGATCAAAGGAAACAAGACATCAAACGAGAAAAATCACTACCACAGCTTACCTGAATCCGGCCCTCCTCGTTCCATGAGCTTAATCCATGCCTCACGAGAAAGAACCTCTTACCAGCGGCTAGAGGAGTGGGAATTAACGGGTCGGTCGCTCCTCGAAAATCCAGAGCCGTCCCCGTGACCCATTCCAGCGCTCTCGTGGCGTAGCTGGAATTGCCATTCAGAGACAAGCGTCCACTCTCCTCTAAAGTTTTGGATAAGAAGAAAATCTATGCTGATAGAACGATAACGATAGGGAACGACTTACTTGCGGAATTCGAGGAAGAGGCAGCAGTAGAAGTGGACGCGTCGTGAGAAGAAGCCGATGCCCGGATGACAAACCCTACATTGCCGGAATTTCTCCTCCGCTTGGAGGAGGCGATGCAGCTGCCGCCAAGATTGAGCGAGAAGCTCCACCAGCTGCGCGCGAACTGAGCGCTGGCGGAGGAGGAGGCGGCGGAGGAGCAAGAACACGGAGCCACAATGTCCGCCATTGCGGCGGGCAGGATATTTTGAAAATAGAGACGATGCTTAATAGGCTAAAAATCCCCGCGAATATCTTAAGATTCTACCGTACGATTTAAACTGGAAGCTTAAGATATTCGCAAGTACGGATGGAGGTTCATGGATCTAGAGCTCGAGCGTTTCTCTAGGCTGCTACGAGACTGTGGAGACTCGAGAGATTTAGGGCGAGGACGAAAGCTCCACCGAGAGATTCTTAGCGGTGGCGAGCACCTCAGGCACTGCAAGCTTCTCAACGATCAGCTGATACACATGTACGGGAAATGTGGGAGCGCCGTCGATGCCTGGGACGTGTTCTGCGGGATCAACGGCTCGGATCTCCTTTCCTGGAATCTCATGCTCAGTGCATATGCTCAGAATGGGCAACTGGGAAAAGCGAGAGAAGTGTTTGAACGTATTCCACGGCGAGATGTTGTTACATGGACGGCTATGATCACTGCTTGTCATTGCGGTAATTCCTTAGAAAAATCGAAAAACTACTTTGATTCGATGCCGGAAAGAAACGTAGTTACTTGGACGGCCATGGCTACTGCATTTGCCGGAGCTGGGTATTTAGAAGAAGCCCGGATAATCTTCGAGAAGATGCCCGAGTGGAATCTTGTGACCTGGAACTCCATGGTCGAAGCATATTGTTCCAGCAATGAGTTGGATGAGGCCAAGGTGATCTATGATAGCATGCCCCAAAAGACAATGGGAGCCATGACGTCGTTCATTCGTGTTTATGCAGAGAATGGGGATGTAGAAGCTGCAAAGATTCTATTTGATAGTATGCCTTACCATGATGAAATTTCTTGTGTAAGCGTAATGGCAGGATTTGTATATGACTGTTCTTTAGACCGAGCATTGTTTGTGTTCAACAATATACAATACCAAAGTATATTGTCTTGGACATCTATGATCTGGGGTTATATTCAGATGGGCCACCTTGAGGAGGCAAAGGTGGTGTTTGACTCAATGCCTCTCTACAATGTGGTGGCTTTAAATGCTATGCTACAAATTCATGTTATAAACAGAAGTGTCAAGGAAACAAAGCACGTATTTGAGCGAATGTGTCAAAAGAATCTAGTCTCGTGGACTTTGATGCTTTTGGCATATGCCCAAGATGGTTATTTCTTGGATGCTCAGAGATTGTTTGAGAAGATGCCAGAGAGAAACGTTGTAATTTGCAGTGCTGTGATGGAAATGTATACCCAAATGGGGAGTTTGGATCAAGCACTGGATATATTCCATTCGATGCCCATTCATAATGTGGTTTCATGCACAATAGCTTTACAAATCAGATCCTTGTTAGGTAGCAGCATTGAGGATCTTAGGGTGATGCTAGAAAGATTTCCCCAGAAAGACATTGTTTCACTTAATGTAATGCTCGCTGAATATGCCCGAAGAGGGTATATGGACGAAAGCATAAACTTCTTCTATTTTGTAATGCCCTTCCACAACACCTCATCCTACATCCTACTACTTGAATCTTACCTTTACAATGGCCATGTTTTTTTAACCAAAGAACTATACGCAAACATGCCAAAAGAAAGTACTATTGCCTCCAAAGCCATAATAACCGCATATGCCCATTCAGGGCATCTGCTACATGCAAAAACCACCTTTGACAGATCTCTGTGTCGAGATCTTGACATGTGGACAGCTCTGATTTGCGCCTATGGCCGTTGTGCGCAATGCAGAGAAGCCCTAGAGATCTTCCACGAGCTGGTTTCCAGCGGAATCAATCCCGACGCAATCACCTTCTTGAGTTTGCTCTTTGTCTGTAGCCACTCAGGATCTTTAAAAATCGCCCAAGAGTGCTTTTCTTCAATGGTGATTGATTACGAAATCTCACCCATTCCAGAGCACTTGAGCTGCATCGTTGACATATTAGATCGCAATTTCCAACCAATACTAGCTAGAGGTCATATAATTCATGCTAGATAGAGGACTGCATGTAAGAGGATCCTTGACTCTTGGCTATACTCCAGTTTTCAATTCACTGATTTTTAAAGTGTAGCATTTGGGACCTCCAGAATTAACTGGTTCTTGCTTCTATGTACTTTTACATGAGCTTTGATCCAAATTCTTTTATACCTACAGCTGTAGGGCACACTTCTTGTAAGTAGAGCTTCCATGCTATATATCCCCCATATTTATGCCAGCAAGGCAACTTTGGTCATGTGGAGGACATCTACCATATTCTTTATCAATGCCCAAACCATCAGCATCTATGGGATCATATAACCCTTCATCAGGGATTGAGCATCCATGTTAGTGATGGAGGTTAGTTGTAGTAAATTGTCCAAAGTGTAAGTGATTAAATTTTCATTCTATTTTAGTACCACTTAAAAGAGTAACTTCCATAGGTCTACAGGAGTCCTACCAAAACAGTCATTAAATTACATGGTGAGAAACGACCGCACATACCACATGGCATTGACGCTGAGATCTAGCCACAAGATCCCACTCTCATGGTGCCGAGAGCGCTGCCGCCAGGATTGCTGCTGCCCCGGCCGAAATATTGCCACCACGGCCTAGAATCCCGTCCTAGCATCACCCTAGCACAGCCGGATACCGCCCTTGTATAGCTCTTAACACCTGACAAAATCAATCTACAATTCTGTGTTTTATAAACGAATTCAAATTACACTGAGGTTAATTTCTTTGCTTCTGATCAAGCGGCCTGCATTTTGGTTCAGCAATTTCAATGAGGCAGCTGGATGAAAGAATGTATGAAAAGTTTATAACGCACTTAAGCTCTTGTCCTGGAAAGCGGAATTGACTTGGGGAGAGAGTATGGTGATAATGATATAATCAACATCACATAATATCAGCTGGGGTGGAGATGGTGCTTGATAGGTAGTGCTGCCACTCTCTTCTCAGTGCATGCAAATGTATCAGAACTTAGGTAAGCGCTGAGGATATTGGAGTTGAATCCATAAGTTGTTGACTTATATCCAACTTGTCGTTTAGGATCTTCTAATATTGGTTTTACCACCTAAATTGGGAAATAAAAACCGTGAAGAGAAGGAACTTTCACGTCTTTTGGTAATAGAAGTTTTTTACTTAGATAAGAAGAAATGAAGAAATATTTCTCACTGGTTTTCTATTTATATTATCTTGTTAATAAAGCATACTTTATGAGTGATGGATATACATGGAATTGTTTACCTTATTCTTTAAGAGTTTCTAATGCAGATATTTGTAAATGTGAAAATGATATTTTTCATTCCCTTAATCGAAATCAAACTGGAAGACTATCATTTACTCATGGTCTTGCAAAAGTAACTGCATATATTGCAATACATAGTAGTGTAACTTCAAGTGATTTAAATGAAGCTTTGAACATAATATGAGATAAATGCATAACACCTTTTAATAAAGGTGGAGCTGTATATCTAAGAAATGGGTCACTTAATGTAAGAATTGAGGCAATAAGAACTGAGTTATCTCTAGAGGTATCAGAAAATCCTCAACTTGCTAAACAAAATTGCTAATGTAAGAAAAAATCATAATATTATTTTATTATTGACTATAATTTTAGTCATTTATTTCTTCCAAGAATAATTGTGAAAAAAATTTAATAATTATAATATTTAAATGCAGTTTCTACAGGGCAAACATTAAAATAGCTATAAGAATTATTGTAATATTAAAATTTTAAAAATCCAATCTAATGAGAATCTTGTATATTAAATATATGAAAAATAAGTCAATATCATTTCTAATTGAGTGATAAATTTCTGCAATACCACTATTAATTTCAACTTCTCTAAGCTCCAATGGAGCTTGGAAGTCCACAAGCTCCAAGCTCCAATTGTTGTGCCTCCAAGTGATACTTACCTCAAGTGTTACTCCTCTAAATAAGTGTTGCTTGCCTCCAAGTGTTCTACCTCTAAATGTTACTTTCTCCAAGTTGTTATGCCTCTAAGTGTTATTTCCCTCAAAATATCAATTTTTATACTTCCAAGTTTTGCCACCAAATGTTGCTTATCTCAAAGTGTTGTGAAGTGTTATGCCTCCAAAGTGTTGCTTGTGTGACTTTACCTCCAAGTGTTGTGCCTCTAAATGTTGTTTGAAGTGTTATTGAACTATTGCTTAATTTGCTAGGTGTCAAGAGTTTGTCGTTGTGAGGAGAGGAAATAACAAAACTGCTAATAAAAATACTAAAATAATGAAGAATTTTCATTTTATGACAAAAATTGTGAGTATAAAGTCCTTAAAACTGTACTTTTCTAAAGGTTTTATAAATTAATTTAACTCCTAGCTAATCCAAAAACCTACTAGGTATATGAATCTACATATGAAACTCATAGTTCAATAAGTAAGAATTTATTGTTAAACATATAAAACCAAAAGTTAGATCAATTGAAGAAATAAAAAATTAAAGGAATTTTAAAATCTATATATATATATATATATATATATATATATATATATATATATATATCCTTAAATATATATATATATTTTAAGATTCTATGAAATATAATTTAAAATGATATTTTTATAAGAAGACAACATATTTGCCTTAACCTGAAAAAAATATTATATGAAATAAGTTATGATGTTTTTAAGAGTAGCATGCTAAAATGTATATGCATATATTATGCAAGAAGCTCAACAAAAGACACATTCTATTTGACTCTATTACCAGTGTGATTTTGTAACCTTATATATAGTTAGATTTATTTAAATTATAATTTCAAAATATTAAATAAATAATAAATTATTTTTATTTGACAGAAACTTTAACTAATATTTATAATTTAAATAAAAAATTTAATAAGTAAATATAACTAATAAATAATAAACTAAAATACAAAAGATATTGTTTTTATAAAATTTAATAGGAGAGAACTATTCTCAAAAAATCTTAACATAAATCTTTGAGAAAAAGAATAATGAAAATCAATCTCAAAAACTTAATGTAATGTTTTTTATGAATATATATGAAAAAATTTAAATTTAAATGCACTAAATATTTTTTAAAAATTTATCTTGATTCTTACTGATTTATTTAGAAGTATCTAACAATTTAATTTAGTAAATGTAATATCACTTGAAATATCTAGAGATAAATCAGTTCTTATTGGTTCAATTCTTACATTTAATGACCCATTATTCAGATATACACTTCCACCTCTTCTAGAAGGTGTTATGCATTTATCCCATATTATATTCAAAGCTTCATTTAAATCATTTGGAGTCATGTTACTATGTATCCCAATATAGGCAGTTACTTTTGTAAGACCATGAGTAAAAGATATTCTTCCTGTTCTATTTCGATTAAGAGCATGAAAAATATCATTTTCACAATTACAAATGTCTAATTCAGAAGCTTCTAAATGATAAGATGTACACATCCATCTATATCCATCACTCATTGAGTAAATTTCGTTTACCAGATAAGATAAATAAAAAATCAGTGAACAATATTTCTTCATTTCAAAACATAATTACCAAATAACATAAAGACATAAAGACACACACACACACACACATATATATATATATAAGCTATATCTGGTGGTAAAACCAAGACTAGAAAAATATTCTAACAAGAAGATATAAATCAATCATACATCCCCTACTTACCTTATACATGTTAGAGAGCTAGAGATAGGATCCAGCAACCTGCGGTGGCAGAAGGTGCTCAAACTTGCCCACCACTGCAAAGTCATCCCTTATCGACAAAAAAGTGCTGCCACCCCTGCTCGAAAAGCCCAGCATGGCTGTAGGAAATCAATATGATTACAAATGTTATATTGTTGGGTGGGCAGCCATTGTTCACCAAAAGAGCTCCAATGCTGTGGTGTTTGATCCATGCTTGCAGTAGGTGGTGAGCATGGTTTCCAAGAGATGATTTTGGAACCTTGGATGTTCTGGAAGATCTCTTGAGTGCTAGCGAGTCTTAGCAAGACACTTGTTGTACATGGTGATGAGTGTGTTGCACATGACGATGTCCAACTCCACCCTATGCTGGCTGGTGGAATTGCCCAAGTCTCCAATCTTCACACATGTCTTTGTGATTGTGATGAATGCTATGTTGTTCTAAATCCCTGTGGAGCCAAAGGTGCTCTTCTTGCAACAACCCAGCTTGCTACTTCAATAAATGAGGCTAAGTATTGATGTGACCTTGGCCATGCATTTAGCCAAAGATCACAGCTAGAACACATTGTTTTCGTCAGGGACTCATAATTCATCATCCGTAAAGTTAATGGCAAATACCAGGTCTAGAAGGTGTGAGGAATGTGGTTGCTGCTGCAGCTTCTGGATCACAATCTACAGAACTCACCAGATTTTTTTGGCACCAAGATTGACTAGATTGTGAATCTAAATGCTAATCTCTACTAATTGGTTTCTTAGGCAAAACACCCTGTCAAAGAAAGCTGTAGGAGCAATCTAGTCCTCAAATAAAGAAGCAGGACTGACCATGTGATCACTCACCACTTAGTCCTCAAATAAAGAGGCTGGGCTGTTCTCACTAACAATTGTTGTTCCTACTTCAAAAGTGGCAAACACCATATGCTGCACATACTTCATTGGTGTACCATGTTGAAGTCCTTGAGATAGAACTACAACTTAGGGAAGATCCTCCAGATAAGATTCATGAAATGAGAAATGACATTGTCAAAAAATCCTCCACTTAGAAGATTTACAACTTTTGAAGTTGGCCATCAACTTGATATCTAGTAGATGTGAGTTGCTAAAATATTGGACTTTTTGCCAAGCAGGCTTGGTGTTGTCTATAAGAATGACTTGGTGGGTGATGGTGTCTATA